GAAGAACAAACAGCCAATATATACAGAAGACATACAAAAGACAACAACTGCACATTCATAAGAACAAGTCGATCGCAATTGACGATCCAAATGTTGTTCGAGCTAACAAAGTGAGTTTATATTCAGTCTTGTATTAAACTGATATTACCGTCTACTTATTACCTCATGATGTCATCTCAATTCAACAATGCATATGCACACATAAGGAAGGAAACTGAGAACAGAAATAGACCATTCATTCCTTGTCAGAGGAGAACCAATGCAGAAAACAAGAGACTGCAGCTAGGAGATGAAATAAACCGCTGCTGAATACTGGGCTAAATCCTGTTTCCTTATCATTAAGCCTGCAGAAACAGCGTGTCCATCCAGCTGAGACACACCGAGTGTGACAGCCTCTGAATCATCTGTAGAAGCCCTATATGCGGTCTAAACATACTGCGCCATAGCTTAGGCTCGCTGCTCTTTCCTTCACAGCTTTGAGCATTTGAGTTCCCAGCAAAGCTGTTAATGAGGACTCCGCGTAGGTACAGGTGACAGACAGCAGAGATTACATTTTTCCCCACTCGGCGTATGCACATAAACACACACAACAACCACTAATGCCCATTAACAATACACAAACATAAACTGAAGACACATGCACGCAACTGAGGTTGACGTGTTGGTGTTGGCCTTTAGTTGGTTCCAGCCTGAGAGAGAGCAGGGAGCTGGCAAGACTCCCTGGTGGCACTGGCTGACCCACTTCTGTGCAACTCTATCCCTAATGTGACCTGCTGGAAAGCCAAAGGACACACACATAAGCAAACACACACACACACACACATCTGAAATTGCCTGCCTACAAAAAAAAAAAAACCCTGGAGGACTGAGGGGAAAAAAAGCTACTAAATGCTACTGATGGCTATCTCTCTCTGTCCTCTCATCATTCTCCGTTTTCTGTTTCTCACACTTTGTCTGAAGATCAACCACTTAAGTAACTCCGCTATCTGATCTAGCTAAACTAGCTATCAACATCCGGTGTGAATTACTGTAAGCTCTACACTGAAACTGGGCTCACAGTTTTGAGTACGACAGTCAATCCAGTAACACTAAAGGCAGGATAACAAGATGGCAACCTCACTTTGAACCAGACTCTTTCTTGCGTGTCATCCTCTGTTTCTCTCTCTCCCCACATTTCCTGCCACTCTCAACTATTTCCTCTCTGATTAAGGCTAAGAAATGTCCCCCAAAACATTTGCAATGAAGTCATGGCACACATATAGTTGGGTCTGTGAGAAGCAAATCTGCTTTTTGCTGCACTAGCATATTGCCAAAACCAATTGATGCAACGTGTGGAGATAAGTCTGTCTGATGTGTGCTGTGATCACACAACATTATTAAAAACAAAACCCACCTCGGAGAAGGAGCTGGCTGGAAAGTAGTCAGTAATCAGATGGCTCACTGACAGCTGGTGTTTGTGCAATGTTTTCTTGTGAGCGGAGGATTTGATTAAAAAGACAACTTTGAAGTAAACAAAGTCAAACTGACACTTCGCTGGCTAGAACAGAGAACGGAAGAGGCGCCGCTTGTGTTCGCTCTAGTCTCTCTACGGCAAACACATATTGATGAATTTATATTTCCAGTTCATCGTTTTTGGTAGCATTTTAGTCTGCAAGTCACCTCTGTTATTATTTTTTTGGATTTATGGATTGATGGTTTGGTCCAGCTTAAAATGAGAGACATTAGAGAAACTAATACCAGAGTTTGATAAATTAGTAAAACAATTAACTGCTTCTCAACGAGGCTATTTAAATTTTGTCAGTCAACTTCACATCATGCCTATCGTAAGTCTAGAGTAGGTTGCACATTATCAGGCGTGCGACAACAGAAAAGACAATGACTCTACAGTAAGTCCAACACAGAGATATTTACTGTGCTTTGCAGCTAAAAATACCAACCAGCCACTCAGACAAGCATATTGCTCTGCTGCTAATGTCAGGTCTCAGTGGCTGTGCAGGCAGAGGCTTGATGTTTCACTGTTTATTTATGTAAGCAATGACAATGTAACCAAGCAGGGCGACCTAAGTTTTGGGGGACATGCAGGCTGGTATGAGTAAGTGTGTGTACATGCATGTGTGTGTTTGCATGTGTGTCTGATCCGGCAATAGTCTGGAAGAAGGAACAATGGCATTCCTGTGCTCTGAGCTCCAGGTGGCTGTGGAAACCCAATCCCAAACCAAGCCTCACTGGCACACAGAGTGCCGGGAACGCCGAATGCTGCTGCCTCCCTCCGGAGACGTGGGCCAGAATAGAGCTATTGTTCCAGACCAGCTCGGGGCAATAAATGCACCACAGCCACCCTCTGTGACAAACACACACTCGCAAATACCAATACACACAAACTGAGTGGATATCGGAGGTTTTCACTTTAGACTTTCACTTTCAGATTTGGAAAAACATCTGCTCATTTCTGACCACGATTAAAAACACAGAAATGGGTGAAACATCTTGGCTGCATTTGTGCACATGCTTTATAATTGGGAGTTTTGTAAAGATTCAACTCATTACATTCCAAAGCAAGCCATTATCATGATTATTACCACCTGTATTACCATCGCACAGTGGAAACACACACAACCTATTACTTACCCGTACCCTATATGAGCTCAAACTACAGTGACATACCTGCACTACACACATTTTCATTTTTACACATATTGAGGGCCCTCATTGATGTCATTCACTGAGACGCGCTCGCCTCTCACTGAATCTGTGTCCCAGAAGATTGGCCAAAATGTTCCAGATTTGCAACATTTCCAAACAAGCCCTCACAAAATGTGGGAGCAGTGGGACACACACACAAAAGCAGGCACATCTGCTGATGCCTGAACACACAGTCGACACACACAGGGCAGGAAACGCATCATGCCGACTGCAACGGCCTTGAAATGAGGAACATGATTCATTTCCTTTCAATGCTGGACAGTCATGCCTTAACACGGGGCTAAGTTCAAATATACAACTATTGGGAAAGCCCTGAATGTGACACACACACAACCCCAAGTCAGGAAAAAAAACACATAATGAGAACTTGCAAGTCACATGCGCTGTAGACATTTCGAGGCAACAACCACTACATTTCATGATATTGACCTACATGAACAAACCACTGGTTCTTTTATGTCGCCTAGTTTCAAGACATGATCAAAGCCATGAGCTCATGTTCAGGCACCATGGGACCAATGTTACAGGTAGTGTAAAGGTACAGCAGCCTCCCTCCGGCAACACGGCATATTCTCCTCCTGCACGCGTACAGGCAACGCCACACACACACACACACACACGGGGTGGGTAAATAATACATGTTCCTTCTTTTTTCTCCCCTGTAACGAACACGACAGATTAATCCAATTGGTTCTCTGTCAATCCTACATCTCCATCACAGCTCTGCTCTGCAACTGCAGACTCTTGCAGGATTGATAGTGAATCCATTTTCTTATCTCTCGAGATAATTACAGCATTGTTAATGCATGCTCACTCATGCACGCTCATTCTCTCTTCCTTCACCCACTCAATAAGTATATCTATCTTTCTCTCCCTTACACACACACACACACACACACACACACACAGGGACACAGGTCAGGCCACACATGCTTCAACCAAGACCTATAAAAGGTCTTTTAGTGACTGAGATTACATGAAATGTAATTAACCTCTGTTCAAAAGAGGAGGAGGACCCACGAAACCAAGGGCCCAACAAGGAAGGAAAGAGGGTTTAATCTTGCCACTGGTTATTTTCTTCCTATATATCAAGCTAAGCTAAATCCTCTGACCTCTATCAGGACACACACACACAACAAGCACCAACCAGGGGTTCGATTCCGTGTGTACAGCTCATCTTTACAGGCTGTGGTGCAACACTGAAGCTCTGAAAGGTTCAGAGATAAATGAGGAAACGTCCAACAGGAAGAGACTCGCACATACAGTACATGTAGTCAGCTACATAACTTTTTTTTATTTTATTTTTTTATATGCGTTTAATGCTGATTGTTAAGGCATGGCTATCTGATAAGTGTCTCCAGCAGTCATTTGAATAGACCGTTAGATAAACTCGCTGCAGTCAAATGCGGCAAGTGTGAGATAATGTTAACCTGGCAGTGGGCCATTCACGACAAACCGGCAGTCAGGAGTAGAAAACGCTAACATAAAGATGGCTAACATAAAAGTGTTTACAAGCAGCATTATGCTCGACAAACACCCTTTCATTTAGCCCCTGTCAGACTGGCCGTGGAGCAGCAAGTGTCGGATTATTAGCGGTGGAGTTAAAGTGACATTTTGTGTGTTTAACGGTGAGTCGCATCCCGGTTGCTTGGCTGCTTCTGTCAACAAGAAGCTCTCTGCCATAGCGCCAGTCTGCTGCTAGATAACGTTACTGCCCAGACACAGACAGTGTGGATGAACACACACACAAAAAAATACAACAACTATAACGTTAAAACGTAGTGGGGGTTTTTTCACATAAATGTCTCGCTTACCTTGAGTGGCGAGGCAGCTCGACCCACTGCTGTGGCGCAACAGACCGCAGGCTAGCTACGAGGCAGAAAACTGACGCCGACACGGTACAAAGTATCACAGCTAAGTTAGCGGGCTAGCTAGCTTAGCGAGCTAACGATGGGAGGAGGGAGGGAGGGAGGGAGGCAGGGAGAGGGGGGGGAGTGTGGTCCTCTCTGTGTCGTCGAGACGAACCAGTAAAAAAATAAAAAATACCCCAAATGATAAGCCCAGGGTTGAGGTGTTTCTTAGGTTGAACAAGGCTACGAGAGAAACGTCCAGTGTCAAAAGGCGCTTTCAGAGGAGACATCCATCTGCAAAGACAGTGGGATTCAGTCGGCAGTGAAGCTATGCGGTGTGTGTGTGTCTGTCTCTCCGGGCGGACGCGCTGCCTCTGCCTAGCCCGGGTCTGTCTGAGGGAGAGAGAGAGGGAGGGAGAGAGAGAGAGAGGGAGAGAGGAGCTCGGCTGCTGATGTGCTGGATCAAACAGTAGCAGCATCACTGCTCATCCCTCCCTTCACTACCTCAACCCGGAAGAAATACTACAACTGATCCCGTCCTTTTTTATCTAGTCCTAAAATGTTCTCCAAAGGCTGCACCGTCCATTAAGATGCATCCGGTGTAGTCTTCTAGTATATTCGCCAGTGATGAATATAGGCAATAAATGCACAACAGTGTCCAATTTATGCATTGTTTGATCTATTGAAATCTAGCCTATTTGGACAGAACAACTAATGCAGCAAAGCTTTGTTTAGGAGTAAGCTGTAAATGCATGATTTACAGATCAACATCATACCAGATAAGTGACAGGGTCAGACATTTAAAGGTCAAACAGCACCAGACTGATAGTAGTTGTATTGTTTGAGGTGTAAATTACACATTATAAATCACTAGAGGGTAAAACCTCGCAGTTGGTCTTATTTGAAGCAAAGAAAGACTCTGAACCCTGCTTCACGTTCACAGTAAAACTGACACTTTCAGTGCTATAACTTTCATTCTTTTATATGAAGAAAAAGAAAGAAAACACAGACATAATATCTATTTTAAATCAAATTGATTTGGTCTAAATGTTGTTAAAGATGAACCACATGGGTAACCGAGTAATGAAACAAACTATTCACTAAATCCTAGCCTACCTCTGTCCAGGTACAATTAAATATTAATGTCATCCACCTGTTTTGCATATAGGCAGTAGTGGGCGACCCGTGTTTGTGTCAGGTTTTCTGAGGGTGTGTCAAATCCAGCTCCACATTCTCCTTAAAATTTGTAAGTCAGTAGGAACCTGGCTCGCTCTTTTCCACATGTCCACATTGCTTACTTTGTCTCTCCAACCAGATGTTTAATATTCTCCAGAGACAGATGTTAATGAATGTGTGCAGCCTGTTTGTTATGTGTTTTGTTGTTCTCTGTGTCTCCGATCCATACAACAACACCTGGAGTTAAAGACGCATGCAGTATTTTGATGTTCCTTAAGATACGTTTTGAGCTCCAAATCTTTCCACCACCCTAACCTTATTTATCCTGCTATTTATGTCAACATCTGTCCCTGCGGTGGTGTCCACAACACTGGATGGTGTGGATCTTCACCACATGTCTCTACTGTAGTGGGTGTAAGACCAAGTTTTGTCACAGCTTGTGAGAGTCTGCCTGTCTTCTCCTGCATTTGTACTCTTTGTGTGACAGGAGAGCTTTGTAATCCGCAATGTCAAGGTCATCCAGCTGCTCCCACATTGTCCTCTGAATCCCATTTCTATTCCCTTCAGTTGTTTCCATCATGATCCACTCAACTGCCAGGATGAACAGGAAGGGTGAAAGTAGACAACCCTCATTGACCCTGCAGTGACATTAGAGCTGGCCCGCATGTATGACTTTGTGATGAGGTCCCATCATACGAGTTAATGTTAATTCCATAGTGGTCCATTAGGCGCCATAGTCCTGTCCGAGCTGTCAAATGCTTTTTCAAAGTCGATTTTGAAGTTAATGTACAGGGACGTGTGTGTGTGTTCAGTAGTGTTCAATGATGATGCGTGTTGCTATGTGGTCCGTACATCCTTCTTGAATCCTGCCTGCCGGATTGTCTACAGCAAGGTTAACCTGGTTGAGAAGACAGTAGGGTGGTCCCTCGGTAGTTGTCACATTTTCTCAGCTCACCTTTTTTTGCCGGTTTCACAATGTGTCCCTCTGCCGTTCTGTGTGTCTTTTCCTCTTCCCAAATTCTCCCAACGAAGCTGTAGAGCATGTCTGTTAATGAGTTTATGTCTAATTTAAGGGCTCCAGGTGGAATATTGTCTGGGCCTGCCAGTTTTTCTGTTGCTTGATTGCTGCCTTTATTTGTGTCACACTTACACACATTTTGTAGAGGTATCCTGGCTTTGGGAATATGTGGCTGTTTTGGCGGTGGTGGCCTGTTTAGGACTTCAAAATGTTTCTATGAATATTTGTATATCACTAGTGGCTAAACGGCCTACTTTACCTTGTTTTAACCGAAGCAAGAAGAACACTTTGACCCGCTGCCGTTTCTCATGCAAAAAACAGGAATTTCAACGCACACGTTCCAAAATGTTAACTATGTTTGTGTCATAAGTGGAAAAAGACTAAATTATAGAGACTAAATGTAATCAAAACATGCCTTCTGATCTTGTTGTAGCTTTTAAGTGCAGGCACACCAAACTGTGTGAAATACAAGCACCTCAATTTTCTCTTGTATGTGTTAAAGGTTTTCAATCATTTTTGAACAAGCCTTGCAAATTAAGGCTTTCTTTAAAAACTTGAGCGCATTGTAATTAATCAGTTTTTGTTGAAAAAACACATTCAAACCAAACAATACTTAAAACCTGTGTAATATTTTTAGTGTCTGCAAAAACACAGGGTAGGAAAAGTGGCTCCTGTATTTGACATTCTAGCCATATTTCTTCTGTTGTCTGTGATCCATCCATTTATCTTCTGAATTTATCAGTCTGTATTAATCAAAGCTGCTGCTGCATGCTGCCGCCGTCTTATCAGATCATTACCACCATGATACCATCATGATGGTGAGGAAGTTTCCGAAGTAACTGAGAAACTCCAACACTGATAAAATAAATTATGTCTGTCCAACAGGAAGATGCACACATGAAGAAGCCTTTCTGTTTAATTTTCTGTAAAATATAACTGTGTGTAGGATTATGTACACATAAACCGCAAAGCACTGCTGGAACTGTTGGGAGGCTCGAACAGGTCAGTATGACAGAGGGCCATAACTTAAGCCTGTTTTTATGGGCCACTACTTGCAAACATACCATCAATCCTATAAGACCTCAGATGCAGCTAAAGGGTTGTCATACATTGCTATATACTGAAGATAAAAATTGGACTGAAAAAGTAGAAAAAATAGAATGGGAAAAGAAAATTGGCTCCTCTTTTCCACCACAACATAGAGGAGGACTGTTTATGGCAAATGGGATACTTCTCAGTTACAAGAAGCTATAAATAAGATGTCAACAGTATTGCTCACTATTACCTGTTCCATCAGGGGAGTGTTTAAATGTCTTGACTGCCGGCATAACCCTTTTTTCGTCACAATTTATTACCAGAATACGAGAAAGCACTTGGGAGTGCTCAGAACGTTGCCAGTGCCAGACAGAGCTAGCTGCCTTACTTAGTGAGTTCATTTTCTTCAGTTGATACCATTTTATTGGCCGCTTCATTCACAGAGATGGTAAATTCTGTTTCTGATTGGCAACACGTTCCCGGGTGTAATTCTGCGAGAGATTCAAGGTGGCTATTATATAATAGTGTCAGTCCACTCTTTCAGAGTTACGCATGCAAACTGGTTTGTGTCAGCATCAGTGCCAAACTCCTGTTGCATATAATGAAGTCAGTGAGGTGATGTGTCTCATTTTTATGACTCAACATTCTACCTACACAGACGGAAAACACTCTGCCCGGACTTGATGAGATGTGAATCTCAATACAGCTACACTTCTAGGTCAGGTCATGCAGAATGTATTCTGTAAGTGAGATTCAGCACAGTGAATGATTAAATATGTGATACACACAGCCTATTTGCATTCTCCTCTGACAAGCTCGCCATCTTGTATTAGTCATTATACTTTTGCAAAAGAATCTCACAACCTTGGGGTTTTTTTTTTGTCGTCGTCTATAATTATAATCTTTCATTTGGAAGAAAAAACCTACTGTCAGCTGCTTTTGGGATGCACCAAATCCATGTTAAAGCTGTGAAGGCTTTAATTTTATTAAAAGCAATTCAATTTCAGTTATTCTTTAGAAATAAAAAATGTCCTCACATACTTTGCACAGTTTGTGTATAGGATAAGATGCAGGCTTGGAATTTAAAAGTTTAACTTTTAAGCACACACCAGGAATAAAGTAAGGCTCGGCCATCCTGGCCACAGCACCACTGCACACCATTGAGCAAGGCACTGGAAACACTGTAAAGCTTAACCAATTAAGACAAGGCTTGCTCAGCTATCTTTCTATTCATCACTTTGTTGAAATATACAGTTTGCATATGCTTCAAATATTGCAAATGTTTTGGCTATATATTTATATATATATTTATAGTTATATAGTGACTATTTTAATACAGAACACAACAACTGAAAAGCTGAAAGCACATTTTTCTGTAAATTTTCTCATATTCACTGCACAGATATATGCAAGTAATCTTTCCATATGTATAAATGTCCTCGCACCATGTTGGATCTGCCTACACACAGATGCATACATGTACACACGTGAGAGCTATCCATCCCCATTACAAACATTGACACATATCCAGCACCAGTCAATGGCCTGCTGACACAGATCAATAAGGTGTGCTTCAGGCTGTGGCTTATGTTAGGCTTGCATACCACCCAGAATCAGTAGAGCAGAAAACTCTGCCAACATGCTTACATAATCTGATTTTAAATGACAACCCTAGCAGCATATTTGCATGCATGCATGCATGTGTGTGCGTGTGTCAACTAGAAAATCAGCTTTACAGTGAAAATGCTTTTTCTATGGATCTTTGTAGCAACAGGACAGTTTCAAGAGGACTGCTGACAGCTTAGAAGAACATAAAACAGCTCCTCTTGTTGTTGTTGTGACTGTGTGGCATCCAGGTGTGTTTAGACTGTAAGCTTGAGTACAGCTGG